CCCTTTCCCTTTTTTACCCCGCTTAAAATTGTTGGTCATTAAAGATGGCTTCTTCGTTGTCCCGCCTTTCTTGTTCTGCCAGTGTTTCTTCTTGTTTTTCATAGTTCAAGATCTCCATTTCTAAAAATTGAAATACGAAGACAAAAAATTCTCTTCCCTCTTGTGCTTCTTCTTTTTGTTCTTTAAGTCTCATTTTTAACTCTTCAAGGAGTGATGCCATTAAAAAAAAATTTAAACAACCCCAATTGATTTCATTTTGTTTCATTAGGATCCTCCATCCAAATTCCAGGAATCATCCAATAAACCAGAACTGTTTCTTGCTTCTTTTCTCACTTTCTCTTTCCAGGGGCTTTGTTATCTTGTAACAAAGTTTCAGCTACAATGTATCTTTTGCAAGCCTTGTTAAAATTCCACTATCAATTTTTTCTTAAGTTCCAGGTGGTCTCCTCCATTTTCCAGATTCCACTCTCTTTTTTCCTTTTTTCCTCCGCTGCTTTCTTTCTTTTTTTAAAGAAAAAATTTAAATTATCCAAGAATCTTTATCCCTTTGACACTTTATTTTCAGCTAGAAATAGCCTATTAATGTCAAAGTGGATTAGTATCAATTTCTTATTCGAATCTCTTCTTCTTAACGTTCCAAGTCAATTAAAACTGTCAATGTGAGAGGAAAAAAAGCCAATTCCGTTTCCTTTTCCTTTTCTGCTTAAAAACTTCTTTAGGAATAGTATTAGTCTTTAAAATTCAGGTTCCAGGTACCTTAAATAGATGTTCTCCATTCAACCCAGTCAGTCAAACTTTCTCCTTTAAAATTCCTCCTGCACAATCTTGTCCGGTCGGGTTCTTCTTTGAGGTGGCCATTTCTGACCACCGCTGCAACCACCTTTGGGAAAGGGAGTAATGGCCATCTGAGGAGGAGAGATGCAGCTCTCCTCAACCCCGCTGACAGCTCCCCCTTCTTTATCACCTCTACAAGGTGGCTTCAGCCCTGAATCCGGGCGGTTCAGGGCGCTCCAGCAACGAGCATGGATCAAAACCGTGCACGATCACAATTTTGGTCCGTCACCGAAGAAGCCCAAACCGGAAGTGGAGGAGTGGCATAATTTAAACAGATGTTATCCTTAGTAAAGCATGATCAGCCAAGCTTAGCCTCTGCTGTTTTCGAATAAGCCTGCTGTAAGTACTGTAGCACTAATATAACTGCTCTTCTCTTTCTTGCAAAGAGCGAAATTAAGTACATTTTTTTTTAAAAAAATGCTTGCTAGAAAATGAAGTATATGGCTGTGGCGTAACCCTCACATACGACAAGTACGGTCTTGAGTTAACACTCTTAGTTTAAAGACAGTTCAAAGTTCTGACGACCTTGGAAAAAAATGATTTACGACCTGGCCTTGCAGTTACAATTTTTGCTCCACCCCTGCACTTACATGGTCATAATTCGGGCTACTTAGCCACTGGCTCACATTTATGACCAGTTGCAGTGTCCTGCGATCACCTGGCTATGATTTGCGTCCTTCCCAGCCGGCTTCCCCGACAGAAAGATCAGTCAGGAAAGTGGAATTTGCTTGGTGACCAGGTGTTTTAGCTTAAAATAGTAAAAATGATTTTAAAAAATTGGGTCCAGGGATGACTTGCTTTACAACGTCACCAACTCACCATGGAATTATGACCCAGTTGTGGTCATAAGCCAAGGACGACCTCTATGGCATTATACAAACATACTCACATAAAAAAAGAACCCTATAAAAATGTTAGAATTCTATAAATGTTTTCATCCAAACTTCTCCCTTCCTCACCTTTAAACTAGTAAGCTTAAAACACTTCATGGCCACAACTGAGTTCTCCCCCTGAGGAAAAAGCTTTCAATTTAATGCTAATATAGGTTGCCCTAAAGAACAGAGAAATTAAAAGAAACCTCTTGGCTTCAGAAAGTGGGCTGCTTCTTTTTTGGGTAGCCCCTGATGTCCTTTTCCAAAATAATATTTCTGCCCCAGGTCTAGATTTTCAGCTCCTGGGTGGCTGGGAAATGTACTGAGTTTTGGTGTACCCAGCACACAATGATCTAAACTGGAAGTACTATCAAAATAAATGCATGAAAGCAATAAGCAATGAGATGCTTGAAGGCTCTTCCATGGCTGGGTTTACCTCTCTATCTTTTTGTTCTTTAAATGATGAAGAGAACTTGAGTGTTTTATAACAAGCCCTCCCGTGGGAATTCCATGCAAATTTCAAAAGTGCCCTCAATAGCACACAGCAAATATTTCCAAGGGAAAATAGCAGATTAATTAAACCATCTGAACTTTTTTGAAGGCCTGGGATATTTCCAGGAACATTAGAAAGTTCAAATAATAGAAAACCATTATGTGGTGGGTTTTTTTTTTTGGATAACTCACAGGCTATTATTTACTTGTCCTCATTTGTTTTCGGCATCAGCCTGTCTGCAGAAATGAAATCTGGTAAACATTTTGTTTACTTACAAATAGTTTGGCACAGTGGCAAATCCTGAAGAGTTGCTGACTGGAAAAAATTATTCATCTATTAGATGGAACCTGCAGGATGGAACCTGCAGTCTGCTTAAGTAAGACCAAAGCCTTGGCAGAGATGTTAATCTTCAAGCAAACCCAATGCTATTCTCTAAAATCCCCTGAGTTTTCTTCCCACATACATTCATCTCCCTACACACTTCTGTTTTTTTTTTTTCTCCACAGAACAAAACCAAACAAAAATCACACTGGAGTCTACGGAGGAGGAGACTCAAATTGGAAATGGTTGTTAAGAAAGCAGCAACTAAGATATACTAGCAAAATGTTCTATTGCACTTTACTAATTTATTTGATTCTTTTTGTCAGTTCTTATTGTTTTTATTTTTATTTTAAATATGATTTTACATTGTGTAAGCCACCTTGAGTCACCATGGGCGGCAATATAAATCAAATAAAATCAAATCAAATAATAAATAAATAAATAAATAAATAAATAAATAAATAAATAAATGTATGCCCTGCTATAATTTTAAAACATTCCTGGGATTTCAAACATAGTCAAGCTTAAGGCAAACATCTACTTTTGTTAGGGAAAATATCTTATTTATAGCCTGTATTTCAGAAATAAACTGTGTGTGTGTATGTGTGTGTGTGTGTGTGTGTAGGGCAAATAATACAGATGGTCCTCGACTTACGAGCACAACTGAGCCCAAATTTTCTGCTGCTAAGTGAGACATTTGTTAAATGAATTTGGCCCCATTTTATGACCTTTACCTTGCCACAATTGTTAATTTTAAAAAACCCTCACTGATTGCATGGAACCGACAGCCCATTTTTCCTCAATTGTAGCCAACTCTGCACTGAACCAACTAGTTCTTAGAAATACCCAAATGATCTCAACAGTATCCTATGCATTTTTTTAAAAAAAAGTTGATAGAATATCATGTTGATTCCAGGCAGCTAACTTAGGGCAAACATGTATTTCAAGACAATTAAAACAGAATATCCCTATTTAAATGTTCAAATGAATGGAGATAGCTGTTGGCTTTCGGTCAAATAAAAGAGATTGTGATCATTACAGGAAGAAATAGAGGAATACAGAAAGCTGCCTTACACCTGATAATTCAGCCCAATACCATATATTTTCAATTGGCAGTTGTTTGTTCTTAATGGTTACAGATTGAGACTTTAACTTGATCTGTTTTTAATCCTTTTAACAAGGACTGAATCTACGCTCCTAAATTTATTAAGGTCTAAGCCAGGACCCAAAGAGGCAGCTCTTCATAGATAAATTGGGTTTTTACTGATAACATACAAAATCTCTTGAACTGCAATAGCCTTACTGCTCAGCCTGCAACAGAAACTCTGCACATGTGTGAGAGCCAGTTTGCTCTAGCTGTTAAGGCATCAGGTTGGAGACCAGGAAACTGTTGAGTTTTAATCCCATTTTAAGATATAAAAGCTAGGCTTCAACCATAACAATACAAGAGCACACAATAGATACAAACTCATGGTAAACCACACCAAACTTGATTGCAGGAAATACGACTTCAGCAACAGAGTGGTCAATGTCTGGAATACTCTACCTGACTCTGTGGTTTCTTCCCCAAACCCCCAAAACTTTAACCTTAGACTGTCTACAATTGGCCTCACCCCTTTTCTAAGAGGTCTGTACGGGACATCCTATTGTTTCTTTTTATTTTTCTGATATGTATCCATTTCATGTATTCATAACTATGTTTATACTTATACCTGTTATCTTATAATCGCTTGACAAAATAAATAAAATAAAATAAATAAAATTTGGGGCCAATGACCCTAATCACAGGGCTGTTGTTATGGAGAAAATAGGAGGAAGAAGTTGTTTTAGGTATCTTTGTCACTTTGAGTTATTCATAAAAATGATAAAGGCAGGAAATAAATACATAATATCCTTATTCATGGCTAAAGGCTAAAACAAGTCTACCATCTGAAAATTCAAGCAAAAACTATTCAACTCTAGGTTTTTACTACTGTATGCAGCCTTCTGAGAAACTCTTATTATAAAGGCAGTTTATAAAACGGAGAGAGGTTTCTTATCTCAAATATTTCATTAACATCTTTCCCCCAACCTGGTATCTTTCAGAATTTCAGCTTCCTTTCAGCCACTGAACTGGCGAAGTTCCAATACATTAAGTTTCAAGAACATCTGATCTTCCTAATCAATTCAAATAAATATAATTAATTTAATTAATTAGCCAATGGAATGTATTTCTCTGTCCTTGTCGAGTACTTCACACAAAGAGTAATCAAGTTTACTAACGTTATAGTAACCGTATAATTTTATACTTCTGCAAGTACAGAATCTCTATCTGAAGCATGTAAATGCAATGCCAGACTCAAAGTTGTTCTTTCTGTAGTAGGCACATTTCAATTAAGTTAAAGCTACCTGCAATAAATCTCGCTCTCATTCACTAATGACTGGCAGATTTCGCTAATGAATGACAAAACACACCAAGGGGAAAAAATGCAATGACTTACGATGTTCCTTGTTGAGAAACACACAAAGTCTTCAAAGGCGTATCACACTGCTCTGAAAGACACAAGAGGAAGGGGGGAGAGACAGATTTGGGGTGATGAACATTTCTGGTCTTTTGCATTGTTTTCTATTGTCTTTTCTCTTTTATTTCTCTCTGTGTGTATGACATTTAGGATGGGGGTCTTTAATTCACGATATCTATGACTTAGGCAACACTACAGATCTGAAAATTTTCTGTTTTTATTTTTATTCCCTGGAGTAGGTTAAAAAAAAGGAACTCCAAATAATCTCAAAGGTGCTTTTTTTTTTTTTCTTCAAAAGGCAACTGGACTGTTTTTTTCCTTGAGGAAGAAGAAGAAAAGGTTTTGCTTCTCATCCAAGAAGCTTCATCAGTTCTGATGAGGATGTAGGGGAAGGGATTTTTCTTCTTTTGAAGAAAAAAGCACCATTGAGACAACTATGAACTGGACGACTGAGAATCTTCACAGACATTTACCTCCAAACAGGTTAAGGGATTTTTTTAAAAAGGAACTTTATAACGAGTTTGATTTGTCTCTGCCTCATTAAATATTATAAGGTTGGATAAATATAAACAGACTGAAGCTAAAATAGTATAGCTTGAGATAATGGCTGCCATTGAGAAAGGAGTAAGACTCTATGAAGAGCTCAGAATTAATCCATGTTGTCTTCCAATATTCATTACATTGTCACATAAGACACATACAAATTGACTACATTTTAAAGGATAGGTGGATAATGTTTTCTAACAGCAGTAGTAGTTTCCATGTCAGAATAAGCTGAAGCAGCAGATTTCAATATTAAATCACTGCTCCCATCTCCGTATGATCTTCCTGCTTTTCCTTTCACATCTTATGCAATGTGCTAGTGACACAGTAGCATATATCTTAAAAAAAATCTTATTATTTTTTTTAAAGCTTAATTTTTAATTGATTAAACTGTACACTGCCCAGGGGGAGATGGCGGTAAAAAAGTGTGTAATATAAAGAAACAAACAAACATATAATGAATAAATAAATATGCCTTGTGACATCTAAAAGGAATAAAAGATAGGAACCACCACCTTGGTTTTTTTATAAATTAAATCCAAACAGCTTCAACAATGAGTTGGAACAAGGCATTCTTCTGCAAAGGTAAAGGTTTCCCTGTCAGTTGTGTCCAACTCTAAGGCACCTGTGTTTCTTAGCCAAAGTAGCCATTGTTGTCCAAAGACAATTTGCATGGTCATGCAGCCAGCCTGGCTATATGCCAAATACACTCGGAATGCCGTTACCTTCCCATTTATCTACTCAGTTTGCATGCTTTTGAACTGCTAGGTAGACAGGAGCCAAGCCAAGTAATAGGAACTCACCCTGTTGCGCGGACCTCGGGCCTCAAACCCGAACTGTCAGTTCTCCTGCTAACAAAGCTCAGTAAACTTTAACCTCGTCAGTAAACTTTAACCAAAATCCAGAAACCCTAGGCATTGCCACCTATCAGATGGTAGGTAGACAAGAGCTAAGCCAAGTAAAGGGAGCTCACCCTGTTGCACGGACCTGGGGTCTCAAACTTGACCTGTCAGCTCTCCTGCTGACAAGCTTAGCATCTTTAAGCTCATCTTCTGCAGGCATTACAAAATCCGGAAACGCTAGGCATTGCCACCTATCAGATGGTGGGTGGCATGCCTTTATTTCTTTCATAGAAGTCCTTCAAATAATCTCAACATGGAAACTTCAAATGAAGCTAAACAATGTATTGCTCATATGCTGAAAATATTTCTCAGTTTAATTTCAAGAAAGCTTGGACTGTCTTCTGAATCTTGTAGCATTGAGATGGAGGGGAGAAAATACTGCATACAGTTGATACAAAAGAGATGAACTTTCAGGACACAGGAGTAAAATATATTACTCTTTAAGAGATAATTGGTTAACAAGAAAAGAATTTGGAGGAAAAATGAAGCAGACAAATCAGAGTCTTGACAGTCTTCTGTTAGAAGTGCTGTGGAACGGATGCTCGGTGCAGAAACTTTGATCTGATGACTTCCATAGGTTCATCTCCTAAAACTTATCAGAACCAAAAACTACTTTACTTAATCTCCAGCCAAAAGTCTGAGAAGCCACCCTTTTGTTCACATTTCATGTTACATGAATATAAATTCTGTGGGATCTGTCAAAATGAACAAAAAACAGCAGGATGCAGTAGTTTATAACTTTAAACTATGGTCTTTATACTTACTCTGGCTCTGAATTACTGATCCAGTCTGCTGGGTTTCCTAGAAAGCAGAAAAAGGGGTGGGGGTGGGGGATTTTTAAATACAACCCGATAATTTTAGGGATAAAGTAAGGATAAGCAAACTTAAGCTACTGCCTCACTTTTCTTTTCTGTTTAGCAAGAAAAATACTGCACTATTTACATTCCTCTTTCTTCTGTATTATAATAAATATTTATTTCTTTATCATTGCTGTCATCATATTATTATTACAGTATCATTACACTGCATAGTACTTTCCATAGCACTAATGTTAACATTCTAAATGGAAAAGAACAGAAAAGAAAACAGGGAAATTATGCATTTATTTCATTTATTTTTTGTCAGGCACAAGAAATGAGGAGTCAGGATACGAGTACAGAAAGCACTGCAAGTTTATTCCAGGCAACCTACATCCAAGAATATGAATTAGTAAGTCAAGGCTCCAGATGAGAATCATGGACTTCAAAGAGGGCTGGACGTAGGTCTCTTTTGCGAGCATGCGGACTTCAGACTGATGATGTCTTTCACCCCACCCTTGGGCCCAGCTTGGTCATCTACTACAATTTGCACACTATTTTGTTCACACATGCCGACATATACCACCACCTCTCATGATGGCTTACAAAACTGGTAGAGTAGGAACAAGAAGCACTAGAAAAATGTTTTCAAGTGTGAAAGAAATAGGGCAACAAAATCAAACTTCTGGTAAGCAATTCCAGGATGTTATAGGAGCTATAGGTAGCTATATATAAAAAGCACAAACGGAATAAGAATACCAGTTGTGAGATTATAGACATCAAATAATGGAGCACAATGGCTCACATGGTTAGGATGCCAAGTTGTAGGTTAGTAAGCCTGTGTTCAAGACCCAAGTGCAGCCCTGGGATGGGGTGAGCTCCTGACCTTCACTCCAGCTCTTGTCGGGGACATGAAAGATGCCCACAACTGGATGTTTTCCGGGCAACGGAGATGTCACTGGCTAATTCTTTCAACCCAGAAGTCTTAAATGCTTCTGACATGAGTGCAATGCAACTGACATCAAGTAAGTAACTCAGGAATTATATGTCTTTGAGCACAATGAATAAATCTAGTGTAGATAATTTGTTCTGGATGCCCTACGCAATTCCTAAAATAATCAGGCAAGTATGGCCATAATGGGGAATTCTGGGAGTTGCATCTACCCTTGTGGAGTATATTCCCAGGTTGTAGAAGTCTGTTTGTTCAAGAGCATTTGGGAGTTAAGGGAATAGAAGTTCTGAATTATGACTCTCTACTATGGAGCAACTGTACATGTCATGATTTTTACGAAGATTGCTACTTTTTCCTGAACATAAAATGACATTCACCTTTTAAGCTACGTGTTAAACAAAACAATGATGCCAAAAACATAAATAACGAATATTCACATGCCCACAGAGATTAGTTCAAAGCAACAGTTGCATGAAAGAAACTATCCTTTTATGCTTGTTTGTTTTGTCCTGCAAACTTTTCCTCTCTGCTAAAAACAACACATGCCAAAAGCAGTTGAATGACATGCATTTTCATACATTAATTCACATAGATGGAATGAAAGGTTTTGCTTCTTCACCTTTACAGGAAATGGAAACTTTGAAGGCTCAGCTGTGCTAGGAGTATGGATGGCTGTCAAAGGAGGTGGCCATGAATGGGTCATTTCCTGGGAAGAAATTGAGAAGAACAATAATCAGCTCTTAAGTCCTAATTTTATTACTTCCTCAGCTGAGAAAAGAATAAGAAAACCTTCCAACGGTAACACAGGGATGTAACTGAAACATTATTTTTCAAGGCTTTTGCAGCCTAGAGTTGGAAGTGATCTTTGAAACTATCATCAAAACAGTCAGACTTTGATTTCTTAATATTCGATCCATTCTGAGGAATGCATGCTTTCCTTCTCTTCTCCTGTCATACTCTTTTATCTTCTATTCCTCCCCACAGTTTTGAATGTGATAAATAATGGCAATGTCTGGGGCAGCATTAAAAGAAAGAGCAGGAATATCACAATATACATAGGAAACTCAAACCAAATTCTACCCCTTTCTTTCTTTTATTTATTTTAATTTGTACTACCTTTCAGTACTGGAAAACTCTTCAATCAAAAGTATTTTTTTTTTAAGAAGGAAACCCAATCAAAATAAAATCAGTGTTTTCTTTGATTCCCAACTTGTATTTCTTCCAACAAGCCGAAGTTTGAAGCCAAATTATCTTTGGGATTCCAGCATTATTAAAGATAAAACAAAGCCACAAATTGGATTCCCTTATAAAGTTTAAGCTTGGACAGGAAGTTCTTGGTCATCTGTGCTAAGACGAAGAGCCCAGCAGGAAACAAGAATGCTTTTTCTGTAACAAATAAGCCAAAATTTCAGAGAATGATAGCTCATCCACTTGGATAAACACAGACAATGTGTTTTTTTTAGTCCTTCTATTTTTGGGGGGTGGGTGAGGGTGGGGTCTGAAACCAGAAATTATTTAAAATATCCAAGATGGTGTTCTGCTTGAAGCCTACTGATTAAATTCTGCAGCAAAGAAGCATGAATAGCATTATAGAGGGGGTGGGTGGGGGAAAACCTAACATTTTTGGTGAAGAAAATAAGGATGACGCAGTAGTTTAAAAAACAACATGAAATTAGTTCTGCTTTCTTTATGGCATCTTTTTCCTCTTAATGTGAATATACTCACCTTCAAAATTTCTTCAACACAATGGGCTTCATTGGAGTAAGACTGCTGAAAAACATAAAGAGAGGTATGGTAAATCCATGAATTAGGAGGACATTCATGTACAGAAAGATAAATCACAATACAAAGATTTGATTTGCAGTATCTATTGCAAGAGAAAACAGGAGTGGTGAATGTTGGCACGAAAAGCTCTGTTTAAAGACAGAATTTTCTCTCCCTACTTTTTGGGTTAAAAGGAGACTTTTTTTTTTTACGGGTCTTCAGTTAAAACTATACAGCAAAATCTGCATAAAGACTACAGATGACAGAGCTAGGCCCAACAGTGAGCAATAAGTGAATGTGCTATTTAACTGGCTGAAGTTATGATAGGTTACCTTAACCCACACTAATAGGAATTCCTGCATGGAGAGGAGTTATTTCATCTGCAAGTCAAAGCTGAGTTTCATGCTTTAAGAAGGAATGTCTCACACCATGCCATCACTGTCGTGAACTATTTTTGCTGCTGCCTGGAAAGCACACAATATATTCACCACAGGAAGCTGCTCTCTTGAGAAATAGCTCTACTAACTGCCATTAGAGGCTATTCTCCAAAGAATAATCCCGCTTCAACTATAGCTGAAACGGGTTTTTCCCCCCTGTTTCTTTCAAGACTGATGCCACACCCCATCACTGCTCTGAATGCTCAGAAATTCACCTCCATCCATCACACACATGCTTAAATGCTCCAGCCTTCAGAGGGAAGTAATTTTCATCCCTAGTACTGAGAATAAGGCAAGTCTCGGCATGATTCCAGCATATTATTCCAACATGTTTTAGCTTCCAACAGTGAAATAGAGCCAAGCTTCTTCCAACAGAAGGCAAGTGCTTAAGACAACTGCTTAAAATTAAGGGGGGGAGGGAAATCTTTAAGAAATAACATTCATAACTAAGCACTGTATAAAGTACCAGAGTAATCTAGCAATAACAAGAAATCTAAAACCAAAATTTTGGTGAGAAATTTAAAAACCAATATGAACATTTAGAGGAGTCCTCCCATATCTTTGGTCTTTTGGGGACCTGATCTCTCTCATCTCCATTGTTCACAGCAACCACAGTACAATCCTTAATTTGCTGGATTGTGTAGAGCAGGGGTGTCAAACTCGCAGCCTGTTGACCAGATGCGTCATATGCTGGCCACACCCACCCCTGGTTTAGCAAAGGGTGAAAAAGTCATGATACGTCATGTGATGACGATGTGACAATGCGAGTTTGACACCCCTGGTATAGAAATTCCTCACCCCAACACACAAACTCTGCACGTTTCATCTGTTACATTCTCCCTCTCTTCATCCTGCTCCCTTACTCATTTTTGCATGCTGTTTCCTCAGTCCTCCATCTTCTTGATAATTCAATATCAGATTAACATTAACTTATCATTCTGTGCATTATTTATCAAAAAGTATTAATGAAAGTATTCCATGCCTTCACACTAGGCCAGTCATTCTAGGAAAGCTCTCCCTAGTGACCAGTCTTTTTTAAATTTTTCAACCCAAAATCAAATGTTTTGTTTTGTCTTTTTGGTAATATTTTTTAGTAATTTTACAGCTTTCCATCTTTTAGCAGCTATCAATGCACATGAAGGTCCTTCTGTAACTGAGCCCATCCAATAAAGGAAAACTTTTGTAGCTCGGCGTTGAAATGGAAGGGTCCTTAGTGCTCTCTGAACTTGGTTCTTTTCTTGTGGATGTTTCATTACCCAAACTAGGTAATATAATCAGTGCTTTCACTAGCATCACTAGCATTGATGATGTTACTTAGTTTGGGGAATGAAATGTCTGCAAGGAAACAACCAAGCCTCAGAGAGCACCAAGGACAAATCATCTCAACACTGAGCTACAAATATTCTCCTCCATTGCTATCAATGCACATGTTTTCCCAAAGTTAAGTTGTAGGACTGATTCACAAATTTTACAGTAGACTTAAGACTTCCCAGGTTGTAAGTAACTTTAAGGGGATCACACTGTTGCCTCAGAACTCAAACTTGGGCTTTTGAGTATTACTCATCTAAAGAAATAATTTGCTTTACTGGGAGGGGAGCACAGAAGTTCATCAGTTTAGGGGTCAGAATATCACAGTATTTGAGAATCATGGGGCTATAATTTTAGAGAAAGTATGCATTGTTTCCTGCATAACCATCTTAACCAAATTGCATAGCGAATAGATTTATATCCAAACAAAGATCCACTGTATTTACGAGCCAGTGTGTGGAAGGCAGGATGCTCAAAATAAGCCTTTGATCAAGGCAAGATTATACTTACTGTATCATATTATATTTGACTCTTGCAAGGAACTCCAAGCCTACTAAAGCTACATATTCACCCAAGATCTATTTTACAACCCCTTACGTCCTCTTAAGTGAGATGTATGCTTCCACAGAGCTTTCATTTTTGTTAGGAAAGATCATAAAGAAGAATGGCATAGTTGATTTGATATAGCCTCTAATTTCCAAACATCATAATTGCAAATAGCCAGGAATCATTAAAAAAAGGAAAGACTTGGCTGGAAGGATGGAATCCTGTCATTTGCATGTCAATTTAAGCATCAGAAATAATAAATATTTTCAGGAGGATGAGCTACAACATTCTCTAGTAAGGTTGAGGAAGGCTTCCTCTCTGCTATGGTTTTTAGAAAACTAGTGAGGATATGATTTTGCTCAGATAGAAATGGGTGTATATTAATTATGGCTTCCTCTAATTCTTCCTCATTATCTAAGTCCTGAATTAAAGTGGATGGTTTCTTCCCCCAAATCAGATAAAAGAAAATCAAGGAACCACTTATTACTGTATAATCTGAATCTGAATCTCTATCTAGAGATACAGATCCTTGCTTAACAGTAGTAAGTGAGTTCTCATCTAATGGCAGGATTCAAACCAATGGCTACCTGGCTAACATTTCAACTATACCTCCTGCAAATTTTTACTGTATTACAAAGTGCTCTTGAACAAACAGCAAGTCTTTCCTTTTGCTCTTCATTGAGCAAGCACACAGGACTATTTACAACACCCATGAAGCAGTAACACCTCCTGAGTTCAAAACACATTTGTTTCACCACAGAGGAGAAATCTGAGGCTTGGAAAGGAAACCGGTTCAAGATATCGCTTGTATGATTTTTTTATGACCCAATCCTGAAAGGTTTTATTCCTAGTCAATGTATTCATTTTCTCCTTTTTTTATTAACTTGCCGAACCAGTCAATAAAGAAAAGGAGCTTGTTTACATGCCCATTGGATATGTGAAGCAGGCAAAAGGACAGCTATTACTGAACACTGTGAAATGCACACAAAATTTCCCAAGTTTCACAAGACCTTCTCCTGGCCACTAGGCTAAATGTAAACATAGCATATTTTCTCTCCAACAAGGTGGACTTCGATTTCTACACCGAGAGAGGGGCCTCTTTCAAAGGAGATGGCAGACCACAACGTTCATAGGCCTAAACAGTTAAACATTTTCATGGAAACTGGAGAATACTAGATGGAAGGAGACAATATGTTCTCTCGGTTCCTTCCTTAAACATTTTTAATTTATGTGCCACTGCATTTTCAAAAACAAAAACCCGCCTCCTGAGATATTCTGAGGCCAACCTTTCTTGCTCGTTCTGCTTTGAGGAGGCATTTTTGTCCACAAACTCATCCTATACTTTCACCTCCAGAAGTTTCCATTGTCACCACACTTCTCTTGCTTTTGTACATAGGGTTAAATGTGCCTTCGGTTTCGCCTATTCATTTTAATACACTCCACCATCTTTTCAGTTTCCACATCAGGATAAAAATAACCTCTAAAGCAGAGGTGGGCAACTATGGCCCCTTTATGACTTGTGGACTTCAACTCCCAAAATTCCTGAGCTAGCATGGCTTGCTCAGGAATTCTGGGAGTTGAAGTCCATAATTCATAAAAGGGCCATAGTTGCCCACCCCTGCTCTAAAGCAAAAGGTGGAGAACTGTGGCCCTTTTATGACTTGTGGATTTCAGCTCCCAGAATTCCTGAAGTAGACATGTTGGCTTAGGAATTCTGGGAATTAAAAGTCCACAACTTGTAAAGAGGCCATATTTTCTCACATCTCCTCTAAAGCTATTATTTCCTGGCTTTCCAGTGAGAGAATGTAACACACCTTTCCCAGTCAACTCTCTTCATACTCTACATAAATGACTTCTGTGATCATATCAAGAGCAACTGCGTTCTCTTCACTGATGATGTAAAGCTATTCAACACCACAGACAATACTGCTACCCTTCAAAAAGACCTTGACTATGTATCAGAATGGTCAAACAAATGGCAACTTCAAATCTCAACAAATAAATGCTCTGTCCTACATATTGGCAAAAAAAAAAAAATTAGAAAATAAAATACAGGCTGAGTAGTCAAGACCTTGTTGATGATCCAAACTCTGTCAAGGACTTTGGAGTAATCATCTCTAATGATCTAAGTTCTAGAGCCCACTGTAACTACATAGCCAAAAAGGCTGAAGAGTTGTTAACCTAATCTTATGTAGCTTTTTCTCTGGTAATATCACACTACTAACTAGAGCATACAAAACATTTGCTAGACCAATACTCGAATACAGCTCATCAGTCTGGAACCCACATTACGTATCTGATATTAACACAGTTGAGAAAGTCCAGAAATATTTCACAAGAAGAGTTCTCCACTCCTCTACTCATTGCAGAATACCTTATGCCACCAGACTCGAAATTCTAGACCTAGAAAACCTAGAACTACGCCGCCTTCGGTCTGATCTAAGTGTAGTATATAAAATCATACATTGCAATGTCCTACCAGTCAATGAATACTTCAGCTTCAACCATAACAACACAAGAGCAAACAGTAGATACAAACTCAAGGTTAATCGCACCAAACTTGATTGCAGGAAATACGACTTCAGCAACAGAGTGGTCAATGTCTGGAATACCCTACCTGACTCTCTGGTTTTTTTTCCCCAAACCCCAAAAACTTTAACCTTAGACTGTCTACTATTGACCTCACCCCTTTCCTATAGGGGGGGTCTGTAGGGG